ATGCGGAGTTTGATGCGTTTGTTCGATAGAGTTATGCGAACGGGAGAGCGTATGACCGGAGTGAGCACATGGAAGTAATGATTCAGCTATGGCGTCTACATCAGGGTTTGTTGAATCTTTGTCGGTCAGACCTGACCATTGGGTGAGGAACAGCCTTTCATTCCATCTGAAAGTCAGGAGGAATTTGAAAGTTGGTTGGCAGTACGTGAATTGGAAGATACGCTTGGGGAACCAGTTGGTTTAAATAGTCCGGGTTATGCCGCCCCCCAGGCCTATTTTTAGGGAGAATCGTCGTCGGATACGAGATTGGGACTATGTTAGTTCTCAGACTAGTAACGATCTTACCCCAATGGTTAATTCATCATTTGCCCGCCAATGCACCTCCTCCGGAGTCGGTATTGTTGAGTTTACAGACTGATTCTGTTCTTTCTCAACCTTCAGCCCCCCCTTTGGTCAGCGACCCCCCAACCTCTATCAGCGACTCCCCAATCCCTATCAGCGACCCCCCGATTACTATAGGTGATTCTCCGTCCTTGATCAGCGACGCCCTTTCCTTGTCTGGTGACCACTCATCTTTCTCCCAAGATTTTTCTTTGGGACCATGGCGACCTTTTTCCCTCCTTGAATTCATTATCTGTAACAACACGACCTTCTCCTTTGTTACCAAACATGGCAGTATCACCGTTACCGGTGCGTTTAACTGGCCGTATGTTCGGTGGTTTGGATCCTATTCCTACGGATCCATCTTTGGATCCTCCCCCAGGAGCTTGCTTTAATTGTTGGCAGCGAGGGCATAGGTTGAAGGATTGTCGTCGTCCACTGTGTATGTTTTGTAACAACTGTGGACGTTTAGGAACAACCCTGCTCAACTGCCCTCGTTGTTCGAGGATCCATAGGGAGATATGGTCCACCGTTTTGGTGAGGTTGGTTATGCTCGTTTTCGTGAGCAGCGTGCCCGTCGTCTTGACAGTGTACATCAAGTTGTTGCTGCAAGTTCGTTGTCGTCGACTCTTTCACTCTCAAGCAGTTCTGGCCCATTGCCTGACACCGGTAATGAGACTTTGGAGGTTGGTTCATTAATTGAACAAATTACGAGATTGGAAAAATTTATTTCTGATCTTCCGCTTGAAATGGCTAGGGAGATTAAGATGCAGTTTTGGCGCGATAGAAGAAATGTATGAATTTAATAAATTTTTGTTTAAATTTAATTTTCTTTTCTTTTTCTTTTTGTTTGACCTGAGACCTATTATCGGCAATATTAATTAAATTAATATTGGCCTAGGGAGGGGGTTTGTAACGAAGTAAATCGTTACTTATATTTTAATTCTACTATCGTTTGCAACGTGCTATAGTGAGCGAGTTCTGTCTTCGTTTGCTATAGCTCTGTCGCCTTTTTTCTAATTTGGCTATAGTGCGATCATTCAGCGACTTGTTTCTGTTTCACGACCGCCAGCGTATTGTTAATGCGCATGATTGTAGTGACGTTTAGTTGTCACATGGTTTTAGCGACCCTTTCCCTCTTTTAGATTTAGGCTCGAAAATTGAAGAAGGATGGACTCATGGAAAATTCGTTGGTTTGATAAAGGAAGAGTTTTCACGAAAATTCGACGGTGATTTACTTCAGATGCAAGGATTCATTAATCAGTCGTTGACGAATATCTGATCACCTCGGTTTGGTTTTGAAACGGTTCCGGCGTTATTGTTTAAAATTAATTAATTTAATTTTATTTCTAAGTTTTCTTTTTGTTATTTTAAAGACTATTTTATTATAGTAATTTATTAAGTTTGCGTTATTAAGAATAAATATTTTTTTAAAAAGGTTTTTTTCTTTGGTTGTTTATTTAAAATCAATTGTGGAATTTGTCCGTTGGATTTGGAGAGGCGTTATTCCGTTGGAGTTTTCATCAAAGGTTTGATTTTAATTTTGAGACCACTGGAGATCGTTGCATCGCGATTTATTCTCAGTTAATTCCCCTTTAATGAGATTAATTGTTTTTTTTTGGAGTTTATCGAAATATTGAAGTTGTAATTTAAGCGTTTCGGGTAACGATGCATTTATTTGGAATTTTTTTCTAGTTGATTAAATTTAAAGTATAAAACACCCGTCACAAAGGTTGTAAATTAAAATTTAAAAAAAATTTAAATTCCTGTGTAAAAATAACTTTTTTCACGGATCCTAAAGCCAATTAATTGAATATTGTATATTAACAATAAACAATTAACTATTTATTTTATAGGAAATTATTGATGTTTGGAATAGGTGTATTCCACGTCAGTTCAACACAAAAAATTTTATTAGGTTTTGGGATTCGGTTGAAATTGGGTAGATTATATCCTCTGGTGGTAATAAATAAATCCCCAAGCGATTTTAAAAAATTTCAAAAATTGGCGGACATATTGGATTTTTAATTTTTTTGTACCTTTTTTTTTAAAAATATATATCTCTGCTTGTTCTTAACGGATTTTAGTTTAGGACCTCTTAAATTGTTCGTATTGAAATATAAATTTATTTAAAAAATTAAAATTAAAAAAATTATTTAATTTTTTTGTTTAAAAAATTAATTTAATTTTTTGAAATCCATAGAAAAAAATATGCTACCTTCAATTTTGATCATTTTTTTACCATTTGTAGCCATAAATGTGTTGAACTTGTCCTGAAATTTTCATCGTGGGACAGCCAGTAGTTTTTGAGAAAAAAAATAAAACGTAAATCCTCGCATAGCGCTGTAGCGCTCAGTTTAATGCCGCACGATTGTAAATGGAATTTTAATGAAAGTACGAGTTTTTATTAACCCTAGAACTAAAATATGATTTTTTTATAGACTAACGAAAAACTGGGGTGGTTTGGTACCCCAGATTTGAAACAATTGTAAAAGGTTACCTTTTTTGTAATTTTTTAATTTGTCAACAATGTGGCTAATTTGAAAAAATTAAACGGATTTTAAAAGGTAAATAAAGAAAAACTGTAAGACCTCGGAAACTCCCCCGTAAAAAATAGAAACCTCCTTTGCAATAAATGATTTTTATTCTATTTTAAAATCATTTAACATTTGTATATATTGTAAATAATATTTAAATTTTCAAGTTGCCTTAATCAAAATAAAATTGTCTCTATTTACCTTTGAAAATCCGTTTAATTTTTTCAAATTAACCACATTGTTGACAAATTAAAAAAATTACAAAAAAGGTAACCTTTTACAATTGTTTCAAATCTGGGGTACCAAACCACCCCAGTTTTTCGTTAGTCTATAAAAAAATCATATTTTAGTTCTAGGGTTAATCAAAACTCGTACTTTCATTAAAATTCCATTTACAATCGTGCGGCATTAAAACTGAGCGCTACAGCGCTATGCGAGGATTTACGTTTTATTTTTTTTCTCAAAAACTACTGGCTGTCCCACGATGAAAATTTCAGGACAAGTTCAACACATTTATGGCTACAAATGGTAAAAAAATGATCAAAATTGAAGGTAGCATATTTTTTCTATGGCTTTTCAAAAAATTAAATTAATTTTTTAAACAAAAAATTTAAATAATTTTTTTAATTTTAATTTTTTAAATAAAAGTATATTTCAATACGAACAATTTAAGAGGTCATAAACTAAAATCCGTTAAGAACAAGCACAGATATATATTTTTCAAAAAAAAAGTACAAAAAAATTAAAAATCCAATATGTCCGCCAATTTTTGAAATTTTTTAAAATCGCTTGGGGATTTTATTTATTACCACCAGAGGATATAATCTACCCAATTTCAACCGAATCCCAAAACCTAATAAAATTTTTTGTGTTGAACTGACGTGGAATACACCAATAACTTTACAATATTGAAAATATTCACAAATAAATATAAATAAAAATATAAAAATAAAATTTATAAATTTTAAGAGTGTATTAGAAAATTTTGTATTTTAATGGGTAAAGTTTTAAGAAATTTTTAATATAGGAAACAATTCAATATTTTTAATGGATTATCATTATTTATTTTATTATTTTAATTTTTATTATTTATATATTCAATATTTGAAGACCGTTTTTTTCTAATTGTAATGAATTATATATTAAGTAATTTTACCTTTTTTATTGCAGACATCCTTCTTGATATGTTTGCAATGTTATGTGGATCTAATAGAAAAATTGAAAAATTTTCACGAAATATATAGGAGTTCCTATATTTCCCCTTCTTCATACTTTCGTGACAACTCTTTTGTCACAAAATTTTTTTTGCCACGTCTTTATTAGTCATAACAAAATATTGAGGGAAAAAATGTGCGATATGACAATTTTTTATGTTTGCAATTATTTAAATAATATTTTGAAAAATAATGTATTTTTTAAGCAAAATTTATTGTAATTAACACAATTACCATTTTTAAATATAAAAGTATTTTTAAGGAATAAACTGAATAATGTAATCAAATAATGATTGTAAAAGAAAAATGAAAAAATTTTAATATATTAAAAAATTGTAATTATTGGAATCTATTATTGCTTAGAAAATTAATGTACAAAATTGGAGAGGTGTTCAAAAAATGAGGTTAAGTTTATTTACATCCAGAGAAATGTTTGTAAGTTCAAGAAATGTTTATTCATATAAAATAGGTTTATATTTTATAAATCAAATATAATATATAATTTACATTTTTATGTTAGTGACCGTTCAAAATTAATTTTTGAATAAATTATTTGAGGCTCTTCGGTCGATTTAACATATTTTTGTCTAAATTTTTTCTCTCTTGGAAAGAAAACCTATAATTTAAGTAAAATTTCGAAATAAAAATTGTAATTATAATAAGAATTTTTCGAATTATTTTATTAAAAAAAATTTTTGTTTAAAGATATTTTAAATTGCAAAAATTTGTGTTTGAAGAAACTCTTTATTACTAATTCATTACTAATAAAAAAGACTTCTCTTAATTTACTTTTCGTGAACAAAACATTAAAAATGTTTTTTTAAGTATAAAATTTATAATGATAAACTGGTTTGGTCGAGTTTGTCTATTAAAAAATATTTTTATTACTAAAAAATATTTCTATTTTCTAAACATAAGTTTACAAAATGCAGTTTCAGATATTGACACAAAAAAAACATACAAGAAAATTCCCACAAGAAGCATAAATATTTTTTTTTTTAATCGCACACTTTACGAAATTTTTTAAAAAGAATTTTATACAGAATAATAACAATTTAACTAGTTTTTTTTAAGAAAAACAAATTTCCACAAATTATTTTTCTATAAATACCTAAAAATTAAAGAGTTTTTAACTCTCTTATTTCACCATTATTTAATCTAATAATATTTTCAATTTCTAAATTTTAATAATTTTGCATTTTTTTATAACGACAAAAAACTATTTTTAAAAAAAGATTTGTCACTATAAATAATTATAAACTATAAACCCATGTAACTGCAGAATATAAATGCACAGCCAATACTCAATATTATGAGGACTATTACCACCCAAATGGGAATTGTATCTGAAAAGAAAAATATATTTAATTAACGATAATTATAAATAAATTAATTAAATATTAAGTTTTAATACTGCAGATAAATTTACTTTGCGAAATAATTAAATTAATTTTATTAATTTAAAAAAAACTTAAATTTTAATTTCATGCAAAATTTGAATATAAAAGACAAAAAGAAATTTGGTTTTTTGAAAAATTTGCATGCCTCCTTTTATACTGTTTTGAAATTTAAAGTATCGAATTTCTATTAAATGAAATTTTTCAAAGTAATTTCTATCAATAATTAAAGCTCAAATTGTTCAAAATTTGGTCAATTTTACATTTAAATTAAAATCAATTAAAAATTGCATTACTTTTATTTTGAATAATAAAAATTATGATTAAAAAAAGTAGGATCACTTGCAATTAAATTTATCAAGAAAATCATTTAAATATTCCATAAAATTGTATTTATAGTAATTTTTGAGAAGCATTCAATGGAAAATGGATTTTTGTTAAATATCTGATAGAAAAATTAACATTTTTTTTTGTCATTAAGGTGTCATTTTTTTCAGAGTTCAGGCCTTGGATCGACTTTAACGATAAAAAAAGTCGCTTTAGTCGATTTAAAATAGAAAAAAAGTCGAAATAGTCGTTTATTTAATTCAGTGTCATCACAAAAATTTAATTTTTTATTCTTCTGATCTTTCACTGATTTCTAAATTTAATTATTTAAAACTTGAATCATTTCGTTAAATAAATATTTAAATACTTCTTGTTTGTTTTTATACGGAAATAAAATTTAAAAAATTTCTATTTAAAACCTTCTGAAATTTAATAACTTAAAAATTACAACTTTAATTCTCTTAAAATTCCATTATTTTCTACAATTTTTAATCAAACTTCTTCTTGAAATCAATTATTTTTAATACTTTTCCGAAAGTTCTTAAAGAATTCAATTATTTAAATACAACTTAGAATGTTTTCAGGACCTTAATTTTTGTCAAATAAATCTGTTCATATTGTGACAATAGGCCACAATATAAACAGATTTATTATTTAAATACAAAAATCCAGTTCTTTATAATGATTCTAACTGTTCATGTTTTTTAAGTTATTAATTAATTTTCAAAAAATTATAATAAAGAAATTCTTAAAATTAATTTTTCAAAAATATTTTTAAAATAATTTGTGAAAGATAATAGTTTTTCAATTATATAGAATTGAAAAATTTCCAAACAATTGAGATTTGGTAAATTCTATTAAAAAAATAATTGAATTTTTAAAGAATTTTAATTATTAATATAAACACGATTTCTCCAAAATTTTAATAAATCTAAAAAGTTCATATGTTGTTAAAATGTTAAAAATAATTGTAAAAAATTCTAATGTTATTATTTTTTGTACGTATTTGAATTTTTGGAAATTTGTATTTGAAAATATTGAAAATAATTGAATTTTAAAAAAATTAGAATGCAAAAAATTCTAAGAATTATTTTTTTCAAAAATATTTTAATATAATTTTTTTGAAGCTAATTTTCATTAATTAACATTTTGAAATTTACACTCGAAGATTTTTCATTAAAATTTTTGAGAAATCAATTATTTTCAAATATTACAATTAAAATTCTTTTAAAGTTTATTTTCAAAAATTTTTATCAAACACTTTGAATAAAATCAATTATTTTCAATTAAATTTTACAAAATTTCAATTATTGAAACTTTTTTTTATTGCAAATTTTGAAAATTTATTTAGTATTTATAAAAATAGTTGAATTGTGTCGAAGAAATTATTAAAAATTTTAGGAAATAATTGAATTTTATGGAAATATTTGAATTCTTCCGAGAAATTCAATTAAATATGTTTTGAAAATAATTGAATTACTGCAAAGAATTTTACTATTTATAAAAATAATTTAATTCTTGCGAATAATTTTGCCATTTATAAAAATAATTGAATTGTTTCGAAGGATTTATTAAAATTTTAGAAAATAATTGAATCTATTCGAAATATATATTAAAATTTTTTTAAATATTAAATTCTTCTGAGGAATTCAATTTCAATTATTTTCAAAATTTGCAATTAAAATTCTTCAAAAGTTGACTTTTAAAAATTTCTATAAAACACTTTTAAAAAAATCAATTATTTTCAATTAAATTTATTACAAAATTTCAATATTTATTGAAACTATTTTCAATGGTAAATTTCGAAAATAAGTTGCATTTTATATTAAAAATTATTGCAATATTCGGAAGAAAAGTCGAAAAAGTCGAAAATGGTATAATATCCGAGGCATGTAGTCATGAAAAAAGTAGAGGTCGCACTATTACCGTCCGTAGTGTATCGTTTTTCTTTGCAAGGCAGTTTTAAATCTTGAGAATTATTAAAATTAATCCCCTTTCGCCTGTGATAAAAATGAAAACTTACATCTATATGGCAAGCTGTGAATGCAAATCCGGTTATCAACGGATATGCTGACAACAGCCGCTTCAGCGTTGCTCGTTATCGTTGGACCATCATTTTTGGTGGGTAAAAATTCAAGACCAGTGACGAACATACTGTGCGCACCAGGAATATGAAGAACTCTTTGTAAACTAAATGCAATGAACATGTCGACACTGCCAGAGAACATTGTTCCCACAGCTACCAATCTTCCATTATCGGAAACTGCCAGCGCTGACAGTGTCTCTTGAAATGGCACCGACTTCATAATAACACCGGCATCGACATTCCAAAGTTGAAGGAAACTAGGATTTTTCCCAACTGTTGCATTCGACAATGTTAATAATTGTGTTTTAGGAACTTTTTCATCGGGATCCCTGAATCGACATCTTTTGTATAAATATTTCATATTTCCAGGCACATTCCAAGTGAGTTCTCTTTTTTTCATTTCACTTTTTATATCCCAAACAAAGGCTTTTCCATCTTTGGCTATTGACACCAGTAAATTACCCTCGGCATTAAAATCTATATCGTCGATTTCTTTTGTGTGAGCTTCTAAATCGTGGAATTTGATAAGTTCAGGGAATTTCCAGAGTCTAATTCGTCCGTCTGTGCCTCCGGTGGCCATTAATTCTCCTTTTGGACAAAGTCGCACGATTCTTTGCAGTGGTTCCGGTTGTCTAGAAAATAATTCTTCAATAAATACGAGTAAAATTACATATGTTCATTAAAATTCCTATCTATATGAATAAAATCAGATTTTTGTCTATGAATTGCTTACAACTAATGTTATGGTACCTTTTTAAAAATTCGCAAATTCAAAATTTTCAATTTTTTCATATATTACAATCAATTTTACTCAAACTTGGTACAGGGTTAATTTTAGTGTTTGTTATCAAGATTTTGTCGCCAAAATAGTAAAATTGCGAAATACAAATTTAAAATTTAGGATTCAAATATTTAAGGGTCAGAAAATCTAAAACTCAAAAATTGTTTTTTTTGTACTTTGGTACATATTGAAATTTTAAACTTATGAAATTTTTGAAAATAAGATTTTGGTTCTAAGAAAAACACATTTATTTTTTTTATTTTTATTTTTCAAAATTTTTTGGTGAATTCTTCTTGTGAGAAATTTTATTATTTTTCAAAATAATTGAATTCTTGCAAAGAATTTTATTAAAATTTTTGAAAATCCTAATTAAATTTTTTTGAAGAATTTCTTTGAATTTTTTTTTAAATAATGGAGTTTCTGAAAATTTTGAAAATAATTGAATTTTTTAGAAAAATTTTATTAAAAATTTTTAAGAAATTGAATTGTTTCGAAGGATTTATTAAAATTTTAGAAAATAATTGATTTTTTTCAAAAAATATTATTAAAAACTAAAAAAAACTGAAGTCTGTCATGAAATTTTATTAAAATTGTTTTAAAAATAATTGAATATTGTTGCAAAAGAATTTTACTATTTATAAAAATAATTGAATTGTTTGGAAGGATTTATTAAAATTTTAGAAAATAATTGAATTCTTTTGAAAAATTTTATAACGAATGAAAAAAAAAATTGAATTCTTTCGTAAGATTTTTTTGAAAATTGAATTTTTCCAAGATTTTACTATTTAAAAAAATAATTGAATTGTATGGAAACATTTATTAAAATTTTATAAAATAATGAAATTCTTCCGAAGAATGTTATTATTTATGAAAATAATTAGATTTTTGCGAAGAATAACATTAAAATTTTTGAAATTCTGATAAGAATTAATTTTAAAAAATTTTCAGTTGAAATTTTAGTAAATAATAATTGAATATTAGAAACGTTATAACAGGAATTTTAACAAACAACAGTTTTTAAATGTTTTTATATTGAAATCTTTGAAAATTTTAATCGTTGTAAAAGTAGAATAATATTTAAGTGTTTATTATAAAAATAAGAAATATATTATTTTCCTCTAAAAATTATTAAAGTTTTGAGTAATTTTATTCAAAAATTTTATTAAGAGTTAAATTTTGAAAGAATTGCAGTTGTAATTTTTAGAAATAATTAAATTTGAAAGGGTTTTGTTTATTTGAAATTTTATTTCTATGGAAAAATTAATAAAAAACAATAAGTAACAGTTAAATATTGATTTGACAAAAATTGTATTAAATTTCTGAATAATTTAATTTAAAAATTCTGAAGAAATTCGATTTTTTTAATAATTAAAATATTTTTGTTTTAATTTAAAAAAAAACAACGCAGAAAGTTTTTTAAAGTAACAATGGCCATTAAAATTTTACGCACGTGTAGTTATGCTAGTCTGAATGATAAGAGAGAAATTTAAAAAGAATTCAAAAATTTTTAAAATACAATCAATTGTTTGATATGAAATATATCACATTTTATGATAAAACTCCTTGATTTCAATTTTTCTTTAAAAGAAATGTATCGAAATGACTTTATTTGAATGAATTTGAAATTAATTTTAATTTACATTCCTTTATTGTCAGAGTTTTAGTTTTGTAAAAGTCATTTCCATACATTTTTAAAAAGAAAAATTGAAAACAAGAAGTTTTATCATAAAAAGTGATATATTTCTAATTAGTGTAATTAAATGACAATTCCACGTGAATCGATCAAGTAAAAATGTTTACTTTCTAGAATTAGCCTGAAACTCTGGAAACTTGTTTTTTATTCAAATAATAAAATTCTAAAATACTGTTAACTTTTTGATAAATAAATTATGTAAATTATGGAGAGCTAAATTTTTATTTTCAAATCCATATAATTTCAACAAAACTTTGACAGATTTTAAATTTTATATAGTGAATTTTAAACCATTTTTTGTATAGTTTTTAACGATAAATATCTTTTGTCAAAAAATAATTTTTTAATCTCACTTTTCAAAAATAAATCTTATTTTTCCATTTTTACAAAAACTACCAATATTTTAAATTTTTTTATTATTTTGATTAGAAAGCTGAGACTTTCTTTAATAAATTATCTAAAATTTAAAAATGAGACAATGCGTTTTCAAGAAAAAAATTTTTTTTTAAGTTTGTTTTATCTTTTCAAAAGTATATTGTTATTCTATTTTCAAAATTTACATAATTATTACTCACCCGAAATCTGTTTGTATACTGTCCATGGGTTTAATAATTAATTGTAATCGTTTACTTTTGAAATTTGAATTATTGTCTTTAACTTCTTCTATTCTTTCGTGATTATTCGATTGTTCATCACTTTTTTCACTCTGTTTTCGTTGCCTAAGACCTGAATTAAAATTAGCAGATTTTTTCGGAATTTCGCCATTCTCGACAGTGATGATTTTCGAATGTACATTGTATAATTGACAGTGACTCTCCTGACCAGCTGCAATCCAGGATCTTTTCTTATCACTGAATGTAGCACAATTCATCACAACACTTGGTCCTGTTTCATGACGAGTCACTTCTTCGGCAATAAATTGATAACCATCGTGTGACAATTCAAATATTTCCTGTAAAACATTTGGTAACTTGTAAATTTTCGGTTTATTCAACAAAATTCAATAGAATTTTAAAAAATAAAATATAAATCAAACTTCTTGATTATAATTTGTAACTATATTGTATTTTTTGTTATTAATCTTTGTAAAAATATTTATTCAGGGTTGCCACAAAAATTACTTACGAATTTCTTTAATTGTAAAATTATTTAAAAACATCAATTACTTCTTTTTTAAATAAATATTTCATCATTTATTATTATTTTTCCATAGAAATGAAGATTTTAGAAAATTTCAAATTCAAATCTTTTTGAAATTCAATAAATTAGGTATAAGAATATTATTATTAAAAAATTATTATTTTCTGCAATTTTTAGATAAAATTCTTCTTTAAATCAATTATTTTTAATAATTTTAAAATAAATTTGTTTACAATTCAATTTTATGAAATTTCGATTATTCGGAAAATAAAAATAAAAATAAAAATAAAAAAACTTCAAAAGAAACTAAAAACTTCAAATAATTTTAAAAAAATTTAATTAAACTAAATAAAAAAAACTTAATTCTACAAAATTGATAGTTTTACAATTCGATTTTACGAAATATACATTAGAAAATAAAAACTTGAAATAATTTTTAAAAATTTGGATTAAGCTTTTTGAAAAAAATAGTTTCATAGAATTTTTAATTAAAACTATGATAATAATTGAATGTTTCTTAAAATTGAATTCTCATAAAGCATTTTATCAACAAATTTTTAAATAATTGAATTCTTTCCACAAATTTTAATAAAAATTTTAAGAATCATTACATATTTCGAGAAATTCGATTAAAATTGTATTAAAAGTAATTGAAATCTTGCGAAGAATTGAATTTTTTTTGAAAATAATTGAATTAATGCGAAGAATTTTATAAAAAAAAGTTGCAAACAATTGATTTTTTTCGAAAAAATTTATGCAAATTCTATTTTTAATAATTGAATTTCTGTAAAATTTTCATTATTTTAGAAAATAATTGAATATTCGTGTAGAATTTTGTTAAAATTGTTTTTTTTGAATTCCTTTGAAATTACATATTATTATTTTGAAAAATAATTGAATGTTTGTGTAGAATATTATTAAAATTTTTGTTTAATAATTAAATTCTTTTGGAAAATTTTATTAAAATAGTAGAATAATGACAATCATTGAATAAAGAAAATTTTTTGAGAATAATTGAAATTTTGCCATAAATTTTATTAAAACTTTTGAAAATAATTGAATACTTGTGATGAATACTATTATTTATGAAAGTAATTGAATTTTGTAATGAATTTGTATTAAAATTTTTGAAAATAATAATTGAATTTCGGCAAAGAATTTTGCTATTTATAAAAATAATTGAAATGTTGACGAGAATTTTTTTTTAATTTTTGAAAAAAAATTTTGAGTTAAAACTACCTAGCGTTGATTACACAGTTAATATTGTATAATATAAGTTGCGGTTTCAACTTTTAGATTGTAAGAGTACTATGTACGAAAGGGCTTGTCCCGTATACTTGTTAAATAAATAAATAAATAAAATAATTGAATTTCTACGATGAATTTTATTAATTTTTAAATATAATTTAATTCTGGCGATGAATATTGTTGTTTATGAAAATAATTGAATTTTGTCATGAATTTTATTAAGATTCCTGAATATAATTGAATTTCGGCGAAGAATTTTGCTATTTATAAAAATAATTGAAATGTTGTCGAGAATTTTTTCTAAAATTTTTGAAAATAATAATTTAATTCCTGTGAAATTTTCATTATTTTAGAAAATAATTGAATATTCGTTAAGAATTTTGTCAAAATTGTTTTTAAATAGGGTAAGTGCGTCAATTGCTGCGGGTGCTTTAGTTTCTGCGGCATTTTAATAATTTAAGTGAATACATTTGTTCAGGGCACAAATAATTTTGAAATTTTTTTTAAAAATTACTTAACGATGTAAGTTTTAAAATAGATATAGGAAGTATATACCAAAACATAATATTTATGTATTTAATTTTAATTAAAAGTTGACGTGTTCAAGGTTTTATTTATTTTCATTGCTAACTTTGCTGGCGGTGCAAAAATACCCACATAAAAAAGGCTTTATTATTGTTTTTAGACTTAAAGTGGTTATTATTATGATGATTTTAGATAAAGAAAACCTTGTTTTAAAAGAAAAATTAAACTTTACTTTATTTTTGTCTGTTATTATATTTTATTTTTAAGAGTAGTAATTAACACAGAATTTGGGCTTGATTTAATTTCTGCGCCCTCAGAAAATCAACTAAGACTGGTTACAATAGACTATCTATTTTGAAAAAGAGCAAGAAAAAATTATTAAAATGAAAGAAAAAATGAAGATTATGGAGGAAAAACTGAATAAAATTTAATAAATACATAAATTAATTAAGGAAGAATTCTGTTATTAAGTTTTAACTAAATATGTTTCAAAAATGTGATAATTCAGAAATTATTTGTTACTTTTGTTAATATATGATATATATTTATTTTTAATAAATTTATATTCTATTCAATTAAACATTGATTAAAATCATTGTCCCATTTTGATTTCATAGTAGTTTGCGGTATTATACACATAAACACGAAATTATGCGCAGAAACTGACCCACAGGAATTAAATTCGCGCAGCAACTGATGCGCAGCAACTGACTCAAACGCGCAGAATTAAACGCATTGAATATTATTTTTAATTCATTAAATTTATTAAAATAAATTATATTTTAGAGATGTTATTTATTGTAAACATATCTTAATAACACAAACTACAAATTTAATAAGACATAAGTTCAATTTGATCAATATAAAAATTATATTTTATAGTTAAAAGACGTCTTGACCAAAATACCGCAGGAATTAGTACACTTACCCTAATTGAATTTTATTACTTTTGAAAATAATTGAATTTTGTAATGAATTTTATTAAAATTGTTGAAAATAATAGTTGAATTCTGTCGAAAAATTTTGCTATTTATTTATAAAGATAATTAAAACGTTGACGACAATTTTTATTAGATTTTTTGAAAATAATTGAATTTCTGGAAAGAATTTTGATATTTACTAAGATATACTTAGTTGAATTCTTTCAAGGAATTTCGTTAAAATTTTCAAAATTGAAATTAAAATTTTTCAAAAAATACTTCATTAAATGAAATCATTTAAAATTATAAATATAAGTAATAACTTTATGGCATTTCTTCAATAGAACGAAGTTATTTAAAAATAAATTACGAATTCGAATAAATTATTGTCAGAAATAGAAAAAATTTATGGTTTTTTTTAGAATTCGTGGTAATTTCATAGTTTATGAGTCAAACAAAAAGACACGAAAATTCAGAATTATCTTATGAGTTTTAAACATTTAATTTTTTCCAGTACTTTTAATAAAAATCCCTGACCAATTCTACTTTCCCTGACTTTTTCTTCAATTCCCTGATTCTCCTGATCTGTGGCAACCTTGTTATTTAAATTTATATTATTTTATGCGAAATATTTATTATATTTACATAAAAATCAAATAAACAAAAAGTTGGAAAATTTGGAGCAATTTGACAATTTGACACACTTTTTAGAGGTTATGTTTAAAAAGACAACTTACAAATCCATTGGCAACTCCAGTTTTTGCGGAACCACCTCCACCTCCGACGAGAATATGTCTATTTGTTAACATTTGTACAGAATATAAGGGAAAATTAACCCTGGCCAGCAGGCCACCTTTATTTTTTCTCGGTGGCATATTGGAGTTGAAAAATCAACGTGTCACTCTTGTAATTTGCTCTACTAATTTTTTTCCACTTTAATCACAAACTTTTTTAGTTTCTTAAAGCACCATACGAGTAAATATTAAAAAAAAGATTGGATATATCAACCTCAGCTTCCACGTATCATGTTTTGAACTTTATTAAAATGTTTCCAATTGTTTAACATTATGTATGTTAGTCGAGAAAATCTATACGACCGTCTTTAGGTGAACGAAATGCTAAAAGCATTACACCTACTAACACACATATACAAAATGCAATTAGAATGAACACCAGCAATAATAAATAAATGAAGGTCTGGGAATTTTTCCTCATCATTTATTTATCAAGTTCAATTGTTATTGAATTTACTCACCTGTCAATTCGACCGATGGTAATAAGTCAATTCTTATGTCGATAAAACAGATTATTTATTTTTATTTCTTTTTTTATAAAAACAGGCAATGGAAAACGTATTTTTACTAGTAAATATCTGTCAATAATCTATTTTTTAAGAATAAATTAGAAGAAAATTAATTTAAATCTAAAATTCCATTTATAAGTTTAACAGATTTCCTAACCTCACTTTTGATTGTGACTTTTGCGATATAAAATTTTGTTGTTGCAAAAAAGTCACATTGTTATTATCCGACTAAATTCACTATAGTTTAGATTAATTACGTTTAATAGCAGAGGAAAATATATATAACTGTTAAATTATACATTTGATTGCATCGTTTTCTGGGTTTTCTGTAATAATTTTGACGTCACCGCGCAGTGAGCGGCGGAGTAGAGAAAATGGCAGGAGCGATAACTCGTTATTTTCATGTTCCAAAGAGACAATTAGGTGAGTTATGGATTTCTTTTATTTCCCTAAACCCTCCTGAATGAGTAACAAAACATTACGTATTTTTAATTGTTTGAATATTTGCCGTACTGTCAGTAAACAGTGAGACTATTCAACATTCATTATTTTGACAATCAAGGTTATGTAATTGAAAAAGTGAATTTTATTGTTAAAAGGACTCCTTGCACCTTATTTAAATGGCCAACAAACGAGAACACTTGCTGATGCTGCTCCGGAAGGAAAGGTAAATAATTTTTCTTTAAAAAGTACCTTTGACTATTGTTTTTTCTCACTACTGTCTGTTGTCATCGTTTCTTACGTGCCTTTTTTTTAGTGCTTTTTTATAAAAATATCTCTTTCTGCCTCTTTTTATTTCATTCAACATATTTCATTTAAAATCAAGATTTTTGTTGCTAAGTATGAAAAGCATTATTTATTAATTTTTCTATAATTTTTGAAAGACAAAATTTTATATGTTAGAAGTTTTCTTTAAAACCGAAATTTCTTTTCTGAGAATTTTTATTTACTACCTATGCTATATTTTATTTATTATTCGTATTTAAACGAATTTCCATAGTATAACATTTTTTCATAATCAAAATTGTATTTGACAGAATTTACATTACGTCGAATTTTAATTTATCGAAATTTTCATTTGCTAGAATTTTTATTGAAAAGAATGTCATTTATATGACATTTTAATATAGAGATAAAAATATTCAGGCCTCGGATATTTTGATTTTTTCCAAATATTTAAAAAAAAATGTGCCTTTTTCGACTTTTCTTCCAAACATTGCAACAAAATTCCACATTTTTAGTATAAAAAGCAACTTATTTCGATTTTTATAGAGTGGGAAAAATAATTTTAGACAAATCTTTCAAACATTATTTTTGAATTACTTTTCTAATTAAATTTTCAACCTACAATTAAAAAGATTTTGAATAATTGAAATTTTGTAAAATTTAGTTGAATGTCATTCATTTTTTTCAAGTATTTTATTATGTAGGCAATATAATTATTATACAAATAAATTATGTTGCAAATTTTTAAAATAATTCAATTCTTGAAAATTTAATTCAATGTTTTTCAATATTCTACTATTTTAATAAAATTTCCCAAAAGAATTCAATTATTTAAAAACAATTTTGATAATATTCTACACAAATATTCAATTATTTTCCAAAAAATAAAAATTTCACAGAAATTCAATTATATAAAATAAAATTTGGATAAATTTTTTTAAAAAAATCAAATGTTTTAAAATTTGGCATTAAACTCTTCGCAGTAATTAAACTATTTTCATATATTTTTAAATTCTTTTCAAGGATTTAATTATTTTCATAAATAATAAAATCATTCTGAGGAGGTCAATTATTTTCATAAATAATAAAATTATTCTGAGGAGATTAATTATTTGTATAAATAACAATATTTATCGCAAAATTTAATTATTTTCAAGAGTAATGAAATCCAATTATTTTCAAAAATTTTAATAAAATTCATTGTAAAATTTCAATTATTTTCAACAAATTTTTCTTAATTCAATAATTTGTATATCTATTATTTTAATAAAATTTCCCAAAAGAATTCAATTATTTAAAAGAATTCTCTACACGAATATTCAATTATTTATTTTTAAAATAATGAAATTTTCACATGAATTCAATTATTAAAAATAGAATTTGCATAAATTTTTTCGAAAAAAGTTTAAAACTTTTTTATAAAATTCGTCGCAATAAATTCAATTATTTTCATAAATAATAAAAATTTTTCTACGGATTTCATTATTTTCAAAAATAATAAATATTTTACAGAGATTCAATTATTTTCATAAATAATAAAAGTTAACGCAGAATTTTAGTTATTTTTAAAACAATTTTAATAGAATTTCCAAAAAATGTAATTATTCATCTTAATTTTCTTTTAATTTGTCAAAAAATTCAGTTATTTAAAAATTTGTTGATTAAATTCTTCATGAGAATTCAATTTTAAGGAACATTCAATTACTCAATAAATTATTTATTTTTGTATTTAAATAATTGAATTCTCGTCGAATTTTCTAATAAAAATTGATTTAAAAATGAATTTTTGTTAAAATTTGAGATAATAATTGAATATTAATTAATATTCAATTAAAATAATATAATATATTAATTAATATTTAGCATGAATTTTTAGAAATATTTGCATTTTCAAAAGATTTCAAATTAACATCTTTGAAAATCTGAATTTTTCATAATTTTAATTAAAAATTCTATGGAACTAATTTTTTTCAAAAATTTTAATTCCAATTCTTTTGAAATTATTTAATGTTTATATTTTCTAAAATATTATATTTAATTGGAGAATTTCCAAATAATCGAAATTTCGTAAAATTGAATTCTAAACAAATGGATTTGAAAATTCTCAAAAAACTTTTTGAAAAATTATGTATTGAAAATAATTGATTTAAAGAAGAATTTTAGTTAAAAATTTTGGAAAACAATAATTGAATTAAATTGATGAAAGTAATTTTGAATAAGTTACAGTAACAATATTCTTATAATATAAAATAATGATTTTATCGCTCGGTCATAATTAATTATTATCATAAAACATAAAGAAATCGATTACTCCGAGTCTTCGACTCGGAGTGATCTGTTTCTTCATGTTTTCTGTTAAATATTCTTATAATTTTTTGAATAAGTTTGAATAAGGGAAAAGGCAGAGGAAAACAAAATAATTTTTTTCCTAGCAACCCTGTAAATATAATTAAATATCACAAAATATGAAAAATAATTTTTTTGGTTTTTCGACAGAAATTCGGAAGTCCTCTGGCAGACCAGGACAGAATATTCACAAATTTATACGGCAGACACGACTGGCGATTGAAGGGTGCCCTGAAACGTGGAGATTGGTACAAAACAAAGGAAATCTTGGATAAAGGCGCCGACTGGATTATCAATGAAGTAAAAGTTTCTGGTCTCAGAGGACGTGGAGGCGCTGGTTTCCCCTCGGGAATGAAGTGGTCCTTTATGAATAAACCGTCTGATGGAAGACCAAAGTATTTGGTGATTAATGGCGACGAAGGAGAGCCAGGAACTTGCAAGGATCGTGAAATTCTACGTCACGATCCACACAAACTTGTCGAGGGCTGTTTAATCGCAGGACGTGCAATGGGAGCGTGTGCCGCCTACATTTACATTCGGGGAGAATTTTACAATGAATCTTCGAATGTACAACTTGCCATTGCCGAGGCCTATCAAGCGGGCTTGATTGGCAAAAATGCTTGTGGTTCGGGTTATGATTTTGATATTTTCGTTCAACGTGGAGCGGGAGCTTACATTTGCGGTGAGGAGACAGCTCTCATTGAATCGATCGAGGGCAAACAGGGAAAGCCAAGATTGAAACCTCCATTTCCCGCGGATGTTGGTCTCTTTGGTTGTCCAACTACTGTCACCAATGTTGAAACCGTTGCTGTGGCACCTGTGAGTTTTTCTTTATTTTTTTCTCTTTCATTTTCAAAACACCTCATTATTATTTTCATTGTAAAATAATTTTTCTAAATGAGGGTTGCCACAGGTCAGGGAAGTCAGGGATAACTCAGGGTAATCAGGGAAAAGTCAGAGATTTTTATTAAAAGTACTGGAAAAAATTAAATGTTTAAAATTTATAAGAAAATTCTGAATTTTGGAGTCTTTTTTGTTTGCCTCATAAACTATGAAATTACAACAAATTTTTTAAATTTTTTCTATTTCTGACAATAATTTATTTTTAAATACCTAACTTAATTTTAAAAAACTATTCATAAAATTATTATTTAGAAATTATTTAATGAATAATTTTACTTAAATATTTCAAAATTAATTCAATTTTAAAAGAGTTGCGTTTAAAATTTCCATAAACAGAAACTTCAAAGGGTTTCAATTTGAAATTTTAGAAAATATCAATTTTTAATGAAATTAAATAGAAATTTTAAGATTTCAAAGTTTTTAATAAAGTTCTTGACAAAATTTCAATTATTTAAAAAAAAAAAAATTATCCGAAATTCAATTATTTTAAAAACTTTTATTGAAATTCTTGTCAAAATTTCAATTATCCTTATAAATAATAAAATTCTTCTTCGAAATTCAATTATTTTCAAAAATTTTAATAAAATTCTTGACAAAATTTCAATCATTTTCAAAAATTTTCCTCATTTCAGTTATTTTTAATATCTATTTTAATAAAATTTTCCAAAAGAATTCAATTATTTAAACAAAATTTTAATAAAAATTTCACAGGAAATGAATTACTTACCAATTTTTTATAAATTGCTTCGAACCAATTCAATTATTTTTAATTCTTTAATGAAGTTTCTCGAAAGAATTCAAATATATTCAGAGAATTGAAAAAAATAGTTCTGAGAAATTCAATTACTTCGAAAAATTTAAATAAAATTCTTTTAAAAATTCTATTATTTAAAAAAATGTTGACAAAATTCTTTACAAGATTTAAGTAATGAAATTGCAATAAATTTTAATAAAAATGTTTCTTATACAATTCAATTATTTTCAATGCCATTCTTCTTAAGAATCCAATTATTTTCACAAATAATATTATTATTATAATAATTATTTTCATAAATAATAAAATTTGTCTCGAGAATTCAATTATTTTAAAAAAATTTTGATAAAATGCTTTATAATCTTTATTCTTCTCTTTTTATACGATTTTAAATAAAATGATAGAAAATTGTATTTATTCTTAAATTTTTTTTAAAATTCTCCGAAAGAATTCAATTATAATTACAATATTCTTATGATATAAAATAATGATTTTATCACTCTGTCATATTAAATTTCTCATATTCTCATAAGTTATTGAATTTCGGAAGGTTTAAATTTGAAAATTTTAATTCCTATAAAAAAATAATAATGATTAAATATTTATTGAAAAAACAAGTTATTAATGTTTTCGAATAATTTTACATTTAAAGAAATTCGTAAATAAATGTAATAGAACATATTTTTGAGTATCTAATAATAATTTTTGGAGTTAATCTGAATATTCTTCAGGGTCAGAGAAAAAGTCAAAATTTTGTCATTGTAAAATAATTTTCTTCTAATTTTTGTTATTTTTTTAATTTTACAAATTTTGTTAAAGTTTCTAAATTGTTTATAAGATTTTACTAGTTTTTATTTATTGTTATTTTAACTATTTTATTTTATTTTCTAAAGTTATTTAAAAACATGTATAAAGTGAAATTAATTTTTGGACTTTCTCCCAGTATTTTCAAAAGAGGATATTTTTTTCCAATTATTATCAAAAAATGCAACTTGTTCAATTTTTCATTCAAATATTGTAACAAAATACCACTTTTTTGGTATAAATTGCAACTTATTTCGATTTTTATAGTGTGAAAAATATAATCATATTTTTCCAAAATTATTTTTGAATAATTCTTTTAAGATAATTTAATTTTCGAAATATATAATTAAAAAGGTTTTAAATAGATACTTCTAAATCTTTGAAAATCTGAATTTTTAATAATTCTAATTAATAATAATTCTGTCGAACTAATTTTTTTGAATAATTGTAATTCAAATTTTTTTGAAATTATTTCAATTTTTTATTTTCCAACAAATATGTAATTGAAAAATTTAAAAATAATCGAAATTTAGTAAGTTGAATTTTAAAGAAATTAATTTTAAAATTCTCAAAGAATTTTGTCGAAAATTATTAAAAATAATTGATTTAAAGAAGAAATTTAGTTAAAAATTCTAGAAAATAATAATTGAATTAAAAGCATGAAAATAATTTTAAAGAAGTTAGAGTAACAGTATTCTATTAAGTTACCTATTGAATTTCAAAACGTTTGAATTTGAAATTTTTAAAAGTCTTAATTCCTAAGGACAAATAATAATAATTATTTATTTTAAATAAAGGTATTGATGTTTTCGAATAATTTTATATTTAAAGAAATTCGCAAATAAATGTAATAGAACATTTAGAGTTAATCATTTTTAGAGTGAAAGTGAAAATTTTTTAGAGTCAGGGAAAAAGTTAAGATTCTGTCTGAAGTTCAGGGAAAGAGAAAATTAAATTTTTGTGGCAACCCTGTCGTAATATTTCAAAAACTAATTAGTTTTTCAAATTGTATAAAATTCGAAATTCAATTATTTTCGAAAAATTACATTACAATATTTTCCAAAACTTAATTCTCAAAATTTTGTTTATTCTAATTTTTTATAATTAAAAATTATCTTCAAAAGAAGTAAATTACGGTTTTTAAAAATTCATGATTTTTAGATTTATTTAAATAATGATTATTAATAAGAAATTTGGTTCTAGACGATCTGCCGACGAGGAGGTTCTTGGTTTGCGTCATTTGGACGACCTCGTAATAGTGGAACTAAATTATTCAACATTTCCGGTCATGTAAATAATCCTTGCACTGTTGAAGAAGAAATGTCTATTCCTCTGAAGGAATTGATCGACAGGCACGCCGGTGGCGTAATCGGAGGCTGGGACAATCTTTTGGGTGTGATTCCCGGAGGATCTTCCACGCCCGTTATTCCCAAGAGGTGAAAAAATTAATAACGAATAAATTAATCAGAGTTGTTAAAAATCATGATTAAAAAGTAATTCGATTTTTTTATTTTAATCGAATATTTTTTATTTAAATCAAATTTTTTCTGGAGCCTAGTTTTTTTTAGTAATGATAAAAAAAATTAATTTTATAATAGAAGCAACAAAAAATAGCAACTTTTATTTAAGAAATTATTTAACTGAACATGTTGTGCAACAATTTAAACAATTAAAACTTGCATTTGAATAATAATTACAATTTTTTGACAATAAGAAATATTTGTTAAATATTAGGTAGAATTTGTTATTTTTATTCAAATGCAACTTTTAATTGTTTAAAATGTTGAAAATTTAATTCCGATTCTTTCAGATTCTATGTTGGATTCTTCCTGAAATCAAAGTTGATTAAAAAACCTATTTTTATGTAAAAATTTGATTTAAATAATGATTTGAAAAGAAACATGTCTTTGATTTAAATCATGATTAAAATAGAAAATTGTCTTTGATTTAAATCATAACAGCCCTGAAATTAATAATTAAATTTTATCATCTAAATATATAAAAGTAACATGGAATAAATAATAAACAACAAAAAAGATTTAAAAAATAAAAATTTAATGCATTTGTAATTTTTTGTTGTTGAAGAGAGTTGTTAATAGGAACAGCACTTAAAGTAATGAAAACCAAATGGATTGAAAAGTAACATTAACATTTTGATTGTTTTCAGTGTTTGTGACACAGTTTTGTTGGATTTTGATGACCTCGTGAGGGTGCAGAGTTCTTTCGGCACAGCTGCCGTAATTGTCATGAATAAACAAACAGATATAATTAAGGCGATTGCTCGTCTCATTAGTTTTTATAAACACGAGTCCTGCGGGCAATGTACACCGTGTCGTGAAGGAATTGGCTGGATGTACAAAATCATGAAGAGGTATTTTATTTATTAATTTCATTATTTTCATTTCTTGATTTACCATTTTTTCAATTTTCTAAGTTTTTCTTTGCATTAGACCGCAACGACTTTATTCAAACTGTAATGCAGGTTTCGTACTCATCTACTAAAGCCTACTATTTACTACTTTTTTTTACGATTTACTACTATTTGGATACTATTATTTTAGATTTGTGATACTAAAAGCTACTTTTTTCTATGTACGAGAATTTGCACTACTTTAAATTCGCTAAGAGTTGGAATAAAAAAATTATTCTAAAAAATTCTAATAAAATTCTTAGAAACAATTCAAAAAATTCTAATAAAATTCTTTCAAACGTTTCAATTATTTACAAAACTTTTTCAAAATTCAATTATTTTTTTAACTTAATAAAAAATTTCTTAAAAGAATTCAATTATTCAAAAACAATTTTTATAAAATTCTTCTCAAGAATTCAATTAATGTTATAAACAGAGACCGACACGGAATTCATTTATTTTAAAAAATGTTAATAAAATTCGGTGCAAAAATTCATTATTTTCATAACTAATAAAACTAATCACAGTATTTCAATAATTTTTAAAAATTTTAAATGAATTCCTCAAAAATTGCAATTATTCTTAAAAAAATGATGTTAAAATTCTTCAAAAAAAAAAAAATTAATTATTTAAAAAATTTTGATATATAATTTGTTTATTAGAATTTAATAATTATTTTCAATGCATTTTTAATTAAATATCTTGAAAAATGTAATTATTTTCAAAATTTTTAATGAAATTCTTTATAAATTCTTCGTAGAATTTTATTTAAAAAATTTGTCGGAATTCAATTATTTTCAACATCTACTTATTCAATAAAAATTTCCAAAAGAAATCAATTATTTAAAAAAAAAATTAAAATAAAAATCGTCGCAAGAATTCAGTTGTTTTTAATATATGTGACTGTCCGCGACAAAAGGGACCTTAGCTCCTATGTATTTACATGGAGCTAAGGTCCCTTTTGTCGCGGACAGTCACATATACAATTTGAATAAAATTTCTTTAATAAAATTTAATTATTTTTAAAAAGTTTAACAAAAATTTGTTGATGGAATTCACTTATTTTTTAAAATTGTGATAAACTCTTTAGAAGAATTAAATAATTATATTTTCAGTTCAATTTTAATTAAATTCGTCGAATAAACTTAAATTTTCTTTGAAACGATTGAATTTGTATTTTTACAATTTTTTTTTCTTTTTTTTATCTTTTATTTTCATAAATAATAAAATTTTCTCAGGAATTCAATTATATTTAGTTAATTTAATTTAATTTCGATTATTTTTAATACAATTTTAAATAAAGTCTTCGAAAAATGCAATTATTTTTACGAATTTTCACAAAATTCTTCGAAAGAATTCAATTATTTAAAAAAATTTCGATATAGTTCTTTATAAGAATTTATTTTTAAGAAATATTTAATTGTTTAATAAATTATTTATTTTTGTATTTAAATGATTGAATTCTCATAGAATTTTCTAATAAAAATTAATTTAAAATTGAATTTCAGTTTAAATTTTAGATAATAATTAAATATCAGAAGCATTTATAGTGTAAATTTTTAGAAATATTAAAATTTTTATTTTCAAATGAAGTGATTAAAGTTTTGAATAATTTTGTTTAAAAATCTCATCAAAAAATGATTATAAAAAAATTGAGTCGTTAAATTTAATTTTTCGATAGCTAAGTATTCTTTTACTACTTTTCTCACTCTGAAAACTAGGTTTTGCTATTTTATTAAAATTCATTATCGAGTACGAAGGCTATTAATGGTTTGAACCAATTTTTAAATGTCACATTAAATCTCATAAAGAAATGTTATTTTACTCTTGAATTATTCTTTAAATATTGTGAATTTATTTCCACTACATAATTTCCTTTAATTATTCTCGTTGAGAACGGCTGTGCCGTTGGAATTTAAAGGTTACTGTTTTTAATTTGATTATTATCTGACCCGGAATGAACGACATCGTCTATTCTATTCTAATTATTAAAATAAGTGTTTTATTATTTTTCTCTTTAATTACTTTTTTTTGCAGATTTATCGAGGGAAATGCAGAACCACACGAAATCGATATGTTGTGGGAATTAACAAAACAAATAGAATTACACACAATTTGTGCGTTGGCTGATGGTGCGGCTTGGCCAGTTCAGGGTCTCATTAGGCATTTTAGACCGGAAATTGAGGAACGAATGAAGAAAAATAAGAGTGCAGCATCTGTTTAAAGAAGATGGATAAAGTAGAATAAATAATCCCTAATTAAAAATTACATAAAAGCATCTAGAGAACTGTATTTATTTTCAGTGTATATAGAGGAGACTAGATAAATTTTTTGATTTCATTTTTTACACCCACAAAATAATTAATTAATTAATTAATTCGCGTTTTTAGTCCTTCTTGGACTTTGAATATTATTCCAATTTCCGAGAATTGAACGAAAATTATAGGAATATATGTTTCTTTGTAAAATGTACAGCAAAATTAGTTTTATTTATCTTTAATACATTTAAGTAAAACAAATTATTTGTCTTTCTCTTTTGAGTAGTAAAACTATTTAATATTAGTTTATAATTTAAAAAAATTTCTATTTTCTGAAAATAAAATTTAAAATATATGAAAGAGATTTTAGTAACTTTTTGATAAGTTTAATAAATTTGCAATTGTGATTTTAACTGAAGTTGTTGATAAATAATAATTAATTATAATTATAGGTATTTAATTCTCAGATAATACGCCTCTTTTCTTTTTTAGATCATTTTTCAAAGCTCAACTAATTTCAAATTGTTCATATGATCAAATTGAAGAATTTTTTAAAAATATAGTTTAAACTCTGTAAAATAAGTGTTTACAATTTAAATTCCTTATTAAAAATTTTAAAATGTAGATAAAATGCTTTTTGCAAAAAAAAAGTGTTAATTATTGATTTTAGTTTAAATCATGATTGAATATTTATTAATACCGCTTTATATTGTCAAAAATGCGGAAAATTTCTTTCATTCATTTCATGAATTTTTAAACAATAAAAATAAATTATATTTAAAAGCGTTATGAACGTATTCAAAAATTTATTTGTTATAATCAAAATTTCTAATAAATGTTTCAAATAGTATATCAGCGGGGGTATAAATTTCTCTACTCTTGTAGTTTTTAATTACGTTTCAGTTTGCCGTTTAGCTCAAGTGAACTTCAGAATCAAGGAAATGGAGAATCCTATTCGCTTTGAAAAATACAACACTAAACGTTTTTGAAAAACCTTTGATCTCTTCTTCAAGGAATTGTAAAAAAACCAAGAAATCGATTATTTAAAGGGAAAGTTCGCCTATATTTTTAACTATATTATGAAAATGATTTAAATATTCCATAAAATTATTGTTTTTATAGTAATTTTTTGAGCAGAATTCAATGGTCTGAAAATATTTGGACCTTTTTTGAATTTGTACTTTTTATAAAAATTAATAGATTTTAAAATCTATCAGTAATTTTGTAGAAAATATGATTTTATATCCACAAACAAATTTCCAAATGAAAAATTGATTAATAATAATGAATTTATAGAAGAATTTTAATTAAAAACACTAAAAAAAAATTGAATTTTAGAGAAGTTACAAATTATTGCAGAAATTCAATTATTTATTCAAAAGTAATAAAATTCTTCACAAAAATTCAATTATTTTCAAAAATTTAACAAAATTCTCTTAAAAATTTCAATCATCTTTATAAATAATAAAATTTTTCTCCAAAATTCAATTCAAACATTCTTCGCAAAAAATGCTATTATGTGGAAAATTTTTTTAAAATTCTCATCAAAATTTCAATTATCTTTATAAATAATAAAATTCTTCTCCGAAATTTAATTATTTTCAAAAAGTTTAATAAAATTCTCGTCAAAATTTCAATTATTTTTAAAAATAATAAAATTCTCCGAAATTCAATTATTATCAAAACTTTTATTGAAATTCTTGTAAAAATTTCAATTATTTTTTAAATTAATAAAATTCTTCAAAATTCAATTATTTTCAAAACTTTTATTGAAATTCTTGTCGAAATTTCAATTATTTTTGAAAATAATAAAATTCTTCTCCAAAAATCAATTATTTTCAAAATTTTTACTAAAATTCTTGTCAAAATTTCAATTTTTTTTAAAAATAATAAAATTCTCCTAAATTTAATTATTTTCAAAACTTTTGTTAAAATTCTTGTCAAAAAATTTCAATTATTTTTGAAAATAATAAAATTTTTCTCCGAAATTCAATTATTTTCAAAACTTTAAAATTCTTGTCAAAACTACAATTATTTAAAGAAATTAGCCTCAATTAAATGATTTTCAATTTCTACTATACTTTAATAATATTTTCCAAAAGATTTCAATTATTTAAAAAGAATTTCGATAAAATTATTTTCAAAAATGATAAATATTTCACTGGAATTCAATTATTTAGAAATTTCTTAACAATGTTATTTTTATAAACAATAAAATTTATTACAGGAATTCAATTATTTTCATACATAATAAAACTCATTGCACAATTTCAATTATTTTTAATACAATTTTAATCAAATTCTTCGAAAAATGTAATTATTTTTAAAAATTTTATTAAAATTAGTCATAAGAATTCAATTATTTCAAAACTTGTTAATCAAATTCTTTGAGATTTCAGTTTTAAGAAAAATTTAATTATTCAATAAATTATTTCTTTTTGTATAATTAAATATTTGAATTCTCGTAGAATTTTTTAATAAAAAACGGTTTAAAAATTAATTTCAGGTAAAATTTTAGATAATAATTGAATAATAAAAGCATTTTAGCGAGAATTTTTTGAAATAATTAAATTTTGAAAAAGTTTTAAATTAAAATCTTTGGAAATCTGAATTTTTATTTATTTTTTAACTAACAATTCTGTAGAATTAATTTTTTTGAAAAAGTTTAATGGAATTTTATTTGAAAATATTTGAAGCTTTTATTTTTTAATTTAATATTTTATTGAAGAATTTTCGAATGATCGAAATTTCACGTAAAATTGAATATTGTAAACAAATGGATTTGAAAATTCTCAAAAAAGAACTTTTTCGAAAATTATTAAAAATAATTGATTTAAAGAAGAATTTTAGTTAAAAATTGTAGAAAATAATAATTGAATGGAAATGATGAAAATAATTTTGAAGAAGTTAGAGTAACAATATTCTTATGATATAAAATAATGATTTTATTACTCGGTCATCTTTAATTATTATTATAAGATGTTTAATTTCAAAAAGGTTTGAATTTGAAATATTTAAAAATCTTAATTCCTATGGAAAAATAATAATGATTAAATAGTTATTGAAAAAGAAGTTATTGATGTTTTCGAATAATTTTACAATTAAAGAAATTCGTAAATAAATGTAACAGATCATTTTTTTAAGTAAAATTTTTTCCTCTATATTCTAAAAAATCAGTAACTTAAATTTCATTTTCAATTAAAATTTGTAATTTGACAAAAAATAGAATTTATAAACATTTTTGTTCTTTTTTTTTTAAAAATCTTTGAATTTTATTAAAACAATATTGTAATTAAGAAATAGAAATGCAGCAAATTATTTCCTTATGAAAATTGAGAATTTTCTACAAAAATGTTAAAAAAACGGAAATATATGTAACGAAAACAATTTTTCTTATAAATTTTCTATTCAAGAAAATTTCGTAAACTTTCCAAATTCGTAATATTTTTAAGAAATGGGTAAAAGGAGTAGAAAATAATAACTCGAGTAAAATATAGCGAACGATAATTTTTCATTTCGTTCATCATACAAGAAAATTCTCTATTTCTATCGATCCGTCGACTACAGCTCAATTAATACAGTACAATGTGCGTATACAATATATACAAAAGCGCTCGCTGAATTTACAGACCGATGTCTTCTTTGTGCCTCTAATCGGGACTGTCTTTTTTTTCATTTAAATATCGTTTAGTACAATAAATTATACAAATCTCAATATACAAAAACTTTTAATTTCTTGATTGCATTTCTAATTAATAAAGTCGAATTTTTGCAAATGTACTAAAAAAAAATAAAATGCCGAACAAAGTTGAAAAAATTATTTAAACACAAATAAATTGAAGAACTTTTGAATTTTCTTGAATAAATAACTTGTCATTTTTTATTCAAAACGAGTCAAGACAAAACTGTTTAATTGGTGTATTTGAATAAAAACTTATAAATTATTTTCATAATAGTTTATAAATTATTTTCTCTCGAAAATTTTAATAATAATAAATTATTCGCAAAAATATAAATTATAAAATATTTGCAAAACAATTTTTAATATTTCGAGTAAAAAATATATTTGCTCCGAAATTATTTTAATTTGTTAATTTTATTTCTTTCAACTCTGAATATACAGTTGAAAGAAATAACGAATTAAAATATTGAAAAAAGTTATTTTTAAAAAATAGGAGAAAATAATTTTAAAAATTATTAAATCTTTACAAATTTTTAGAAAAATTGAAAATTGTTGAAAAAAATTAAATAAAATTCGTAGTTTGAAAAAATAGTAATTGCATTAAATCATTAGAAAAACTAATTTTAATACAATATTGCAAAATTCCTCTTCATTTTTATAATAATTAATGAAGATAAACATATGTCTAGTAAAAAAAAAATTCTAATCACTTAGAACAATAAAAAATCGTTAAAATTTAGTTGATAAATTCGCATTCACATATATTTGAAAATTTTGACATTAGAATAAAAATTTATCAATTTAGAGAGAATTTATTGTACCACGTGAATTACTTACAATTAATTTAGCCATTACAATTGATGCTTCTTTATGAAGTATCATGTAGGTTAGTAAGCACACACACTGTCTTTTATAATAGGTCCGTTATTAAACGAGCATTATTTATTTATTTATTTATTTCTCTCTTTTCTTTTCTTTTCTTTTCCTTCCTCTTTCTCAAATAGTTTCGCTCTTATACAATTTCATAATTCTTTTCTGCCAACCGTAAAACTCTGATTTTCTTTCTAATAATCTTTTAATTTTATCAAGACGAACACGATTCATAATAAAATAAGATATTTCTAGAATAAATCTTGTAAATTCTAGGGGTACCTTTTTTGTCGCTTTCAAAAAATTGATTTCACTCGTAAAAAATTTCGCCGCACATATACGCAATCTCTAAAATTGGAAACAAAAATTTTACATCTATCCACTAATTTATTGAAAAGCTTTACAATTTTTTTTTGTCTGTGTCAAAGGCAGTTGAATTAATTTTGTCAGGAGTTCATAGATTTTCCTCATTTTTTTTTATTCTTTTTAGCCAGTTTTATTCTTCTTAAAGTGGTGTCTTTATTTTTTCAGTTAGAAAAATAACGAGAAATAAGAATTAAAAATATTAATTTTTAAATTAAACAGTTACTGTTTTTGTATTTATTTGAATTTTTTTGGAATAAATATGAGTTCCTCCTCTTTGCCGAAAATAAAATTGAAAGACGCGTAATTATTATTGTTTTACATTCTAGTAAAAATCTAATTAATCTTATATACATTCTCAAGTTTCATTTTAACTGATTAACGACGAAGCCAAGAGAATAATAATAAAATGATGAAATTGAGAACAAATAGTAGATGACAGGTGATTTTTTTAAGAAACTGCTTTTTTTATAAGCACTCAAATACTTTTATTCGTAGCATCTGATCGTGACGAGTAGAAATAACTATCAAACCTTTGGAGTGCAAATGGCACCTTAAAAATAGTCAAATCTCTTTTTTATCCTATTATGTAATTGTGAATGAATAACAAAAATTCGAGTCGATTTAAAAAATTTGTTTCTAATGGAGCAAAAAATAAAAATTACGAAATAAAATAATTTTAATCAATCGAGCGCAATTATTTCAACTGAACCTGAGAAATTTATCAAAATTTTCCATATTTCAATGAAATTCAGTTATTAAAATTTAATTACATGAAAATTTTTTTTAATTTTTCTGAAATTTAAGTATAAACTAAAAATTCGAAAATTTTTTAACGAAGAAATGAATTTGAATTTATTTTTGAGTTTTTTTTTAAAACACTATATTTATATTGAATCATGAACTTCGTGGAACAAATTTGGGCTAATGGATAATATTTTCTTTTTTTGTTTTAATAAAATGTACGCATCATCGAATTCATGGTGAGAAAGACCTTTTGCATTTTTTCTTCTTTTGAATTTTAAAGGTACGCCTACGATATGATTGGGCATGATCATTAGCTTACTATTTGCACGATCATGCTGATTGTTGCGCCATTAGTTCCTGTACATCTGCCATAAAAATAGATGCGGTTCTATCGCACAGTTTCGACGTCAGCTTCCTGCGTTTACTCGAGAAGCAATTTTTTTTTTCAGCCGCGGGTATTTTCGGTTCAATGGACATTTCAAAAGAATTGCAAAAAAAAATGTAATAATAGTAATAATAGTAATAATAACAATGATAATAAAAATATAGAAACTCTCAGGATTGACAAAATATTTGGTCCTTTTTTACAACAATTTATATTTATCTATTTTCAATATAAATTCGTTCATGTTTTTTTTTCTGAAATTTCTTTCTTTTAAGGTGATTTGCAAAACTGGTCATCGTACATTTACAATTATAATTTCAAATTAGAAAAGTAGAAAATATTTTTTAGTGAAAATTAAAATATGTTTAAAACAACTAAATTATTTTTTTATCTTTTTTCTTTTTATAAGAAATTCATATAAAAAAAAGATAAAAGAATGATTTAGTTCTTTTTATAAGAAATTCTTATAAAAAAAAAAAAAGATAAAAGAATAATTTAGTTGTTTTAAACATATTTTAATTTTCACTAAAAAATATTTTTTGTAAAAATACATTATTATAATTTCAAAGCTATAAGAAACATTTCTTACAATTTTGTATAAAGTTATGAATATTTCTTGTCATTCTAAATATAACATATTTTCAAAAAATTAACTATATAACAATAAAATAATAATCGACATATTCTGCCCTCACGTGAAATAAGGGTTTTTTGATTCGAAATTGTTTTACAATTAAAAATTGTCGTGTCAAAAGTTTGACAATTAATTTGTAAATAGAGTGATTAGTGTTTTAGTGCAATTAATTCCCCTTGAATTTTGCCAATAACAGGATTTTCACAGAACAGTAAATTAAGGAAATTTTATCAAAAGTATTAAAAAATTATCAAATTATTCAAAATCTTAAATACTAAATCTATGAATTTTTTTTCGAAAATTCAAAAAAAAAATCCGTAAGTAGTTACAATTGCAATATTTAAAAATAATCAATTATTTATTTTTGTACTTAAAAAATTGAATTCTCGTACAACTTTTTGATAAGAATTTATTTGAAACAGAATTTCAGTTACAATTTTAGAAAACATTTCAAAAATTGTAATTTTAATTTTTAGAAATAATTAGATTTCAAAAGGTTTTACATTCAAAGTATTTTCAAATTTTCATTCCTGCTGGACAAATAAAAAATAATAAGTATTTTAATATTTATTAAACAAAAATTAAGTAAATTTAAAAAATTTTATTTAGAAATTCTGAAAAAATTATATTTTTAAAAAATCGTAATCAAAACTTTTTGAAAATAACTGAATTTCCGAAAATAATTTTTAAAAAAATGAAAATAAGAAATTTTCTGTAATTTCATTAAAATAAATTTTATGTTTCAAAGAATTTTATTCTCTATCTTTCAAAAATTATTTTTAAATACCTATTATTGTATTTTTTTGAGAATTGAAACTAAAAATAAGAAAAATTATTTAAAAAATGTTTGTATTTAAATAATTCAATTATCGTTCAATTGTAATGAGAATTACAATTAAAATCTTGAAAAAAATTTAATATTGAAAAAAATTCAATTATTTTCATAAATAACAAAATTCTTAGCAGAAATTTAATTATTTTTAAGAATTCCTTTCAAGAATTCAATTATTCTCATTAATAATAAAAATGTATTCAGAAATATAATTATTTTCAATAATTTTAATAAAATTCTTGGCAAGAATCAATTTATAAATAATAAAATTCTTCTCCAAAATTCAATTATTTTAAGAATATTTTATTTATATTATTGATATTTAATTTTAAGAAATAATTAAATTTTAAAAGGTTTTTAATTGAAATCTTTTTAGCATTTTAATCGCCGTAAAAGTAAAATAATATTTCAATGTTTATTTAAAGAAATTATTAATTGTTTATTATTTTCCTTTAAAAATAATTAAAGTTTTGAATAATTTTATTCATAAATTCTAAAAACTAATTAAAAGTCAATTGACTTTTCAAAAAGTTTTACATTGAAATTATTTTAAATTTCAATTAAAAGAAATAAAAAGTTTTGTCAATATTTTTTTAATAAAAATTATTAAAGTTTTGAATAATTTTATTCATAAATTCTAAAAAATAATTAAAAGTCAATTGACTTTTCAAAAAGTTTTACATTGAAATTATTTTAAATTTCAATTAAAAGAAATAAAAAGTTTTGTCAATATTTTTTTAATAAAAATTATTGAAGTTTTGAATAGTTTAATGTAGAAATTCTAAAAAAATTAGGTTTTTGAAAAATTCTAATTAAACCTTTTTTTGAAGATAATTGAATTCCCGAAAATAATTTGAAAAATTGAAACAATTAAAAGTTGTGGTAAATTTAATTCAATAAAATTTGCCAAGAGTTTAATATTATTATTTAAAAATTTTTTTTTGAAATATAATCGTATTTTTGAAGAATTATATTTCGAGAAACTATATTTTTTAAAAAATAATAAATATTCATTGAATTTCAAAAAGAAAGTTTTTTTTAACTAACAATCGGTTTTATTAGTTACGCTAGTGAAACGCTAACAACTAGTTATGTTAGTTATTAGATAATGTAAAAATTTTAAATACATTTTTTTTTATTTTGAAAATGGCAAATCTTTGCTTCCTTCTTAGTAAAAAAATAAAATTATTTGATTTTCTACAAATTTTGAAATAAAATTTCCTCTAAAAGAAGTACGGAGTTTGCTGATATTCGTTAGATCGATTCTCTAACAATTATTTTCAAATTAGGAAAAAATATATTTCGTATGTTTTTTTTTTTAATTTTTGAATGTTTGAATACAGAAATATTTAGAATTTCGTTGCAATGATAAAAATTAACTTTCTCTGTTTTGAAATTACAATTTTTGCATGAAATTACATTGAAAAATTTTATTTTTATATTTTAAAGCACATAGAAATATTTTCTTCAAATTTGAAGAATTTGTCCATTCTTTTATCGATAAAGAAATAATTACATAATTTTAAATCTCTACCATTTCTTAGCCTACAAATTACAATTTATGTTTCTATCAAATAATTTGTCTAATTAATTTTATAATTAAAAATTAATTTTAATTTGTATACGTAATATTATTTATATTACTTGTTAATTTATAAAATATTTTTATTCTTAATTGAAAATTTTTAATTTTACCGTAATTTTATAGATAATAAAATTTTCAAAGTTAAATGGCTTTTAGTTGAAATTTAATTTATTTGCTTTAAAATTATTTCTCCAGTTAAGAGAGAATTGCAGCCGAATCACCTTAAAATTGAAGAAATAAATTTTATCCATTGAAAAATGTTTCACTTGAAGTTAAATGCTTACTCGAATTAATCCCACGGCAATAATTTTATGTTCTCGAAATAAACGCGGGTGCAATTAAAATCCTTGATTGCTTGTGTAAATTTCTTTACGACAAGTTTTATTATATTATTTTTTTTGTCATTCTTTTTTGTTTATAAAAAAATCGTTAAAATCACTTTTTTCCGAGTTTATATATGTAGTTATTTAGCTAAAAAAGAGAAATATATTTCAGTCTTTCGCCCTTTGCATTGATGGGGGAGAAAGAGAAAAATTTTTTCCGATTTTATAGTTATTTAGCTAAAGGAGAAATATATTCAGTCTTTCTTCTTCCATTGTTGGGGGAGAAAGAGAAATTTTTTTTTCCGATTTTATAGTTATTTAGACTGAATATATTTCAGTTTTTCCCCTTTCCATTGATGGGGGGAGAAAGAGAGAAAAAAAAACGGAAATTTCTAAACACGTATTGTATTAAAAGAAATTCGAACAAGCAATTAAGGTTTAGCGTGACTCGCGAATTGATGGAAGGCACGGGGTAGGATATCAAAAGGGTCAGAGGGTTTGTAATTCTCGACAGCTTTCGGGAATTAATGATTGGAACTATCGCTCGTCACCAATCCAGTCGCTGGACGCCCACGCCGGCAGGGGGGTCTCGTACTCCCAGCCGGGGCCACAATAGCGCCACGCGTGAAGATACATCACCAGATCCGAGGGCTTTGGATCTCTGTATTTGACTTTGCACTCGTAACAATGTGGATCGACGGTTATCTTATCGTTTGCGAATGTACTGTCTGGTGGCTCGGAGCCTGTCTGTGTGCCGACAGTAACTTTCAGAGATTGTTGAATTTGCGGCTGTTGCTGCTCGGGCGTCGTCTGTTGCTGCTGTTCCTCCTCCGAGTGGCCGGGAGTTGAAGAGGGCGAACCTTCTTTGTCGCCTGGCGTTAAAGCACGCTCTAAATCGAGTTTTGGCTTGAAGAGACTCATGTCTGAATCACCGTCCATTCCCAACCAATTCTCTGCGTTGTGAATTCCTATTAGATCTCTCACCAATTCCTCGTCTGTCTTGCCTAGAAAATAAGAAAAAATTTACTTTTTTTCACTATTCAATTTCAGAAAAAACACCTTTCAATTACGAAGAAAAAATGTGAGTAACTAATTATAAAAACCAAATTCAAATTGTTGAAAACTTCTTAACCAGAAATTTGAAATACATTTACAGAAAATACACCAAAATTCAGAATTTTCTTATGAATTCTAAAAATTTAATTTTTTTGGAGTAGCTACATTTCAACATTTTAATTACAATTAAAAATTGAGAGGAAAATTTTATAATTTTTATACTCTCTTATGACGTACATAATAAAAACATCAATAAATCAGGGTTGCCACAAAAATTTAATTTTCTTTTCCCCTGCTTCCCAGACTAAATTTTGACTTTTGCCCTGATCCTAAAAAATATTCTGCAATTCACTCTAAAAATTATTAGATACTAAAAAAATGTTTTATTACATTTATTTACGAATTTCTTAAATTATCAAATTCTTCGAAAACATCAATAACTTTTTTTAAAATAAATATTTAATTATTATTAGTTAAATAATCATTTAACGTCCGAGATCCTTTAGAAATTAAGGAGTCTATCCAAAAAAAATATACAAAATTAAAATAATAATAAAAATTATATAGGTATAGTAAAATAATAATAAAAATAGTTTAACAATAAATAAATAAAATAAAAATTAATGGATAATTATCTTACCAAAAAATAATAATTAAAATATACGAAGAATATACGAAGAGGAAATCATTTAGATTACGAAACGTTGGAGTAAATAAATATTTTATTCATTGTCCAAATGCTTTCGTTTAATTTGCCTTAATTATTATTATTTTTTCACAGGAATTAAGATTTACAAAAATTTCAAATTCAAACCATTTTTAAATTCAACAACTTATAAGAATATTTTATTATAAAACATGAAGAAATTGATCACTTCGAGTCTTCGACTCGGAGTAATCAATTTTTCCATGTTTTATAATAACTAAAGATGACAGAGTGATAAAATTATTATTTTAAATTATAATTTTCACCATTTCAATTCAATTATTATTTTCTACAATTTTTAACTAAAATTCTGAAGAATTTTAGTTAAAAATTGTTTAAATCAATTATTTTTATTAATTTTTGAAAAAGTTATTATTTGAGAATTTCTAAATCAATTTGTTTGCAATTAAATTTCACGTAATTTCTATTATTCGAAAATTTTTCAATTACATAGGCATATATTAGAAAATAAAACTTCAAATAATTTAAAAAAAAAATTGAATTAAACTTTTTGAAAAAAAATATTTCTTCAGAATTGTTAGTTAAGGGCATTTGAACCATGATGACGTCACAGATTTAAAACTAATGCTTTGCACAAACTGTGACGTCATCAAGGTTCAAATCCCCTTAAAAGAATGTAAATTTAAATTTTAAAAGATTTTAATTTGAAACCTTTTCAAAATTCAATTATTTCTAAAAAATTCACGCTATAATTCCTCTAATATTCAATTATTATCTAAAATTTCAACTGAAATTCATTTTTGAATTAATTTTTATTAAAAAAATCCTAAGAGAATTCAATTTTATTTAAATAGAAAAATAAATAATTTATTGAATAATTGAATGTTTCTTAAAATTGAATTCTCATAAAGAATTTTATCAACAAATTTTTAAATAATTAAATTCTTTTGACGAATTTTAATATAATTTTTAAGAATAATTACATTTTAGAAGAATTCAATTAAAATTGTATTAAAAATAATTGAATCCCTGTAAAAAATTTAATTATTTCTGAAAACAATAAAATTATTACGAAGAAATATATAAAAAGTTTGCGAATAATAGAATTACTATGAAATTCTTGTTAATTATTATTATGAAAATAATTCAATTTTTTAAAATAGTAGATATTGACAATCATTAAATTCAGGAAAATTTTTTAAAATAATTAAAGTTTTGACAATAATTTTATTAAAAGTTTTGAAAATAATTGAATTTTGGAGAAGAATTTTATTATTTTCAAAAATAATTGAAATTTTGACAAGAATTTCAATAAAAGTTTTGAAAATAATTGAATTTCGGAGAAGAATTTTATTATTTTTAAAGATAATTGAATTTCGGAGAAGAATTTTAGTAAAAATTTTGAAAATAATTGAATTTTGGAGACGAATTTTATTATTTTTAAAAATAATTAAAATTAGGCCAAGAATTTTATTAAAATTTTTGAAAATAATTGAATTTCGGAGAAGAATTTTATTATTTTTAAAGATAATTGAATTTCGGAGAAGAATTTTATTAAAAGTTTTGAAAATAATTAAATTTCGGAGAATTTTATTATTTTTAAAAATAATTGAAATTTTGACAAGAATTTTAGTAAAAATTTTGAAAATAATTGAATTTTGGAGAAGAATTTTATTATTTTTAAAAATAATTAAAATTAGGCCAAGAATTTTATTAAAATTTTTGAAAATAATTGAATTTCGGAGAAGAATTTTATTATTTTTAAAGATAATTGAATTTCGGAGAAGAATTTTATTAAAAGTTTTGAAAATAATTAAATTTCGGAGAATTTTATTATTTTTAAAAATAATTCAAATTTTGACAAGAATTTTAGTAAAAATTTTGAAAATAATTGAATTTTGGAGAAGAATTTTATTATTTTTAAAAATAATTAAAATTAGGCCAAGAATTTTATTAAAATTTTTGAAAATAATTGAATTTCGGAGAAGAATTTTATTATTTTTAAAGATAATTGAATTTCGGAGAAGAATTTTATTAAAAGTTTTGAAAATAATTAAATTTCGGAGAATTTTATTATTTTTAAAAATAATTGAAATTTTGACAAGAATTTTATTAAAAATTTTGAAAATAATTGAATTTCTGCAATCATTTGTGAACTTCTCCAAAATTTAATTTTTTTAGTGGTTTTAATTAAATTTCTTATATAAATCCATAAATTTTTTAATAACTAATTAAATTTTCTTTTTTCTAATATAAATCATTTTCTAAAAATTTCATTTTCTAATAAAAATACCTACATTTAAAAATTTTTTTTTCTAGCAATATTCAATTTTTGTAATTAGGTATATTTGATTAAAAATAAAATTTATGAAAATTTTTGAATTATTCAAAAAAATACTTGAGATTTCGTTAAAAATTGTAGTAAGAAAATAGAATTTATGGAAATTTTTTAACAAAGTTTTAAAATAATCTCGTTAAAAATCGTAATTAACATGTAGAAATTATAGGGATTTTTTCCTAAAAGATGTTTAAAATTTTCTAAAAAAAATGTTTTATAAATATGTTAATTTTGGAAATATTGGTATAAAAATGATGCAAATTATTGTTTTCTTTTTTCAAGAAGAACAGAATTTTGTTAAAAAATTGTGATTAAAAATAAGAATTTTGCAAAGTTTGTTCTCCTTTTCGAAAAGAAACTCATAATTTTGTGAACAGAATTGTGATTAAGAAACAGAAAATATGCAAAATAGTTTCTATGTATTTCCAAATCTTGATTTTTTTAAACAATTTTCTAACTTTTATCAAAATTATAGAATTTTACAAATTTCAGGAAAATAAATATTAGAGATCATAACTTTTAGGAAAAACTTTTTTAGAACTCAAAACTTGTTAGAAAAACTTTTTTTAGACAACAGATTTCATTAGAAATCGCTTTTTTTAGACAAAAAGGATTAGAAAATATTTTTTATAAAAAGTCACCACATCTTTTTAAATATTTAAGTTAAATTATTCATTAAATTATTTATAAGTAATAATTTTTCGATACTTCTTGAAAAATTAATTTACTTAAAAAAAAATTATTGTCAGAAATAGAGAAAATTGGAGATTTTGTAAAAATCTAATTCTAATTCTAATTTTGTAAAATTAGAATTGATGGTAATTTCATTGTTTATGAGGAATAGAAAAAAGGCAACACAATTCAGAATTTTCTTATAAATTCTAAAAATTAAATTTTTTTGGAGTATTTTTAATAAAAGTCCCTGAATTTTCCCTGATTTCCCTGACCTCTGGCAACCCTGATATATGTAATCTAACTTTAGTCTTTTTATGCTGTCCCCAAGAGCCACTTTCGGTGAAAAGCTGAAAGCCGTAACTATTACTGTTTAAGAGACACTGTAGGACAAACATTTATGGTCCCATCCTCCCTATTATACTCATAAATAATAAATATAGTATAATAATAATTATACGAAATATATTACCTATATTGCCACCCTTTCCTTTCTGTGGACCAAAAACTACGTGATTATAAAGAGGATCGTTAACGACCGGATAACCAAGGTATTGAAGATGGACTCGAATTTGGTGCATTCGCCCTGTTTGAGGTTTACAAAGGACCACGGATGATTTTCCATTGTAACTGAGACGTTTGAACCTTGTCATGCAGTCCTTGCCCTTCTCGGATACTTTACAAACGCCTATTTTGTATGAGACGACCTCAATTGGCTCCGAACAGACAACCTCGTCCTCTGGGAATTCACCTTCAACTCGACACACGTATTGCTTGTGAACCTAATAAACAGGAAAATTTTATTATAAAAACATCATTGGCTAATCAAATCACCATCATTTAAAGTTCATTTTCTTTGTTTATTTTTAATTCAGACTTTTAAAACGTAATCTATAATTTTTAATAATTACAATAATTAGGAATAAAAAATACATTCAAACTGAAAATATCAGAAAACAAAACTTCAATGAATGAAGAATTAAAAAATACAAAAATGCAATTGTTTTGATAGAAAAAAAAATTTTTTAAAAATAAAGATTTAGATAGTTGTAATTAGTGTCGGGATAACTCAAAACAAATTCTTTCTATGTTAATAATCGTTGTATTCCGGTAATCTGTTCGCAGTTTAAAGTTAATTGTTGTTTGCTTTTTTGTTTCTTAACTTTTTAAATAATTATTTAAATATTTTCAATTTTAAAATTAATGTATTGAAAATCAACGAATTAAAATTTTTTAAGATAATTAATTTTAATGAAGAATTTCTTTCAAGTTTTTAAAATAATCGTGTTTGTTAATAATTGAATTATACATTTAATTATTAGATTTTATTAAAATTGTAGAAAATAATTAAATTCTTTTGAAAAATGTTAAATGTTAATATTTTAGAAAATAATTGAATTTTTTCGAAAAATAGGTACTATTAAATATTAAAAAAAATTGAATTCTTTCATGAAATTGTATTAAAATCCTGTTAAATATAATTAAATTTTTTCGAAGAATTTATTAAAATTTTAGAAAATAATTGAATTCTATTCAAATTTTTTAAAAAGAATTAAGAAAAAAATTGAATTCATTCGTCAAAAATTTTTTTTTGAAAATAATTGAATTTTTGCAAAGAATTTTACTATTTACAAATATATTTGAATTTTGCGAAGGACTTATTAAAATTTTAGAAAATAATTGAATTCTATCGAAAAATATTATTAAAAATTTTTTAAAAATTGAATTCTTTCATGAAATTTTATTAAAATTGTATTGAAAATAATTGAATTTTTTCAAAAAATTTATTTAAATTTTAGAAAATAATTGAATTCTATTCAAATTTTTTAAAACGAATTAAGGAAAAAATTGAATTCAATCATAGAATTTTTTTGAAAATAATTAAATTTTTGCAAAGAATTTTACTATTTATAAATATAATTTAATTTTGCAAAGGATTTATTAAAATTTTAGAAAAATAATTAAATTTTTTCGAAAAATATTATTAAAAATTAAAAAAAATTGAATTCTTTTCTGCGAAATGTTATTAAAATTGTATTGAAAATAATTGAATTTTTTCAAAAAATTTATTTAAATTTTAGAAAATAATTCAATTCTATTGCAATTTTTTAAAACGAATTTAAGAAACAAATTGAATTCTTTCGTGAAATTGTTTTGAATATAATTGAATTTTTGCAAAGAATTTTACTATTTATAAATAAGTATAATTCAATTTTCTCGAAGGATTTATTAAAATTTTAGAAAATAATTGAATTTTTTGGAAAAATATTATTAAAAATTTTTTAAAAATTGAATTCATTTCTGGAATGTTTGTATTGAAAATAATTGTATTGAAAATAATTGAATTGTTTCGAAGGATTTATTAAATGTTTAAGAATAATTGAATTTTTTCGAAAAATATTACAAAAAATAAAAAAAATTGAATTCTTTTCGGGAATGTTATTAAAATTTTAGAAAATAATTGAATTTTTTCGAAAAATATTATTAAAAATTAAAAAAAAATTGAATTCTTTTTCTGGAATGTTGTTAAAATTGTATTGAAAATAATTGTATTGTTTCGAAAGATTTATTAAAAGTTTAGAAAATTATTGAATTTTGTCGAAAAATATTATTAAAAATAAAAAAAAATTGAATTCTTTTCTGGAATGTTATTAAAATTGTACTGAAAATAATTGAATTGTTTGGAAGGATTTATTAAAATTTTAGAAAATAATTGAATTCTATTGAAATTTGTTAAAACGAATTAAAAAAAAATTGAATTCTTTCGTAAAAATTATTTTGAAAATAATTGAATTCTTGCAAAGATTTTACTATTTTTTAACAAAAATAATTGAATTTTTTTGAAGGATTTATTCAAATTTTGAAAGTAATTGAATTCTTTCATGAGATTTAATTAAAATGTTGTTGAAAACAATTGAATAATTGAATCTTTGCAAAAAAATTTTTATAAAAATAATCGAATTCCTACGAAGAATTTAATTATTTATGAAAATAATTGAATTTTTGCGAAGAATTTTAGAAAAATTTTTGTAATTAATAAACAAGAATAATTAATTAGTAAATTAGTTAATAATTGAATTTTTTGAATTTTTTAAAAGTTTGAATTTGAAATTATTTGAAAATAAAAAATGTTGTAATCTACATAATAATAATAATAAAAGAAATATCGCGTTCCGCGCGCGTAACATTTGCTATTTAAATAATAATTTCTTTCTAATGTATTTATTGACAACTAAGAATAAATTTAAATTAATTGTTAACCTACTTTCAGTGACTGATAGTTATAATAAAATTCTTGACAATTTAAGATAACTTTGACTACTTAATTATTATTTATCACCTATATATATTTGAATAGGTGTTTAAACTGTTTACATAATTATCTAAAGTGCCTACATGTGAGATAATTTGTTTAATGGAAATACCTGTCGATTGCGAATCTGATGTTCCATTTGCCTTGCCTTCTTGGGTGTTCTTCCAAAGAGAAGAATACCGCTGGTTAGTCTGTCAAGCCTGTGAATTGTTCTGAGATTCTTCAAATTGTACTCCTTGGCTAGAATGAAGACCACGGTATTGTGCCGATATCGACCGCACGGATGAACCTGTAATCACAAGATATCTCTCTGTCAACATAAATTCCCACTTCATTATTATTATTATTATTAACTATTTATTGCCAATAAATCTTATATCAAAATAATTAACTTTTCTTCAAAAATTATTATTTTATAAATGTAATAAATATTTAACATAATATTAATTAAGTCTTTCAATTATAATTTTTCTATAGAAAAACTTTTTTCTCTACGCTTTAAAAGTAGTATATTTCAATATGTCCTGATAATCTAGACAATTTGTTCAATAATATATTATTATCTTATTTAAATTTGCGACATTTTGATAAATTATCAAAATTATTGAATATACTTAACAGAATTCTTTCTTTTTTCATTTTTTATCCAACAAAACAAAAAATTGAACTAAATTGGTTTAGATTCAAAAAATTCAAAATGGTGGATCTAATATGGCGGACAATTTTAAGATTAATGCGATTCAATCGAAATTAATTTCTCGGGGGTTTATTTGAGGTCACTAAATCCAAATTTGATGTCAAAATTAAAAAATTCAAAATTGATGTCGATAATATAGTGACAAAAATTTTAAAAATAAATTCAAATTTGATGCCATGCGTGACAAATTCAAAATGGTTTGTAAAATATATAATTATAATTAGAAGTGTAGCGTACCTACACGGTTCAGTAATTGAGAAAAAGAAAGAGATGCAAAAAACAACTTTTACAATTTACATTTTCACATTAAATTCGAATTTTGTAACTTTAAAAACTGCGAAGTAAATATTTTTAGAGAATTCCCTCACTTTTAAAGCATATGGTCGACATTTTTAATTTTGAAAATTTCGGTCGAAACGCATCAATTTAAAAATTATCCGCCATATTGGATCCGCCATTTTGAATTTTGAAAAACTGACCTCAAATTTGAATTTAGCGACCCCGAAAACCTTCAAATATATGATAAAATCATATTTTTTAGGAAACTTTTTTTTGGACGTTTTAGGCTACAAGTGATTTTTAACTGGACGTATACTGTATTTTTTTAACTCTAAAGTGTGTATTAATTAAAATAGATTATCATGTCTGGATGTATGTGAGTTTCAATTATACAATGTAAAAACGATAAGTGAGGTGAAATATAGATCCTTCTAACAGGTTCTGCTGTTGGGTGTATAATTATAGCAGATTTAACTCTTAAGTGCTGCACGTTGAGGTTTATGCACCAATAAACAAATTTGTAATTAATTATATAATTTTATTTCCTCTTATATGTCTTATTTGTATTGAATCTTAACACATTTAAAGTTCCAAATTATTTTAAATGCGACAAAGAATAGAACAAATTTATATATTTTATGTAAAAAAGATTTTATGTTATAAAAGAAAAAGTATTTTTTTAAACTTTTATATTATGTGTATAAAAGTCTTAGATATGGACGGAAAGTGGGTTACCTACGGAAAATTTTAATGTAAATATTTCTTAAAATTGCGATTTTTACTTTTTATTATTTTCAGTATTTAATAATTCATGTGAGAAATAATTTTATCCCTATATATATGAGAAAGCAGTGCGTTTACAAAATGAACCCCAATATGTAACACACATAACATGAACGTTAAGGTAGTACCACTTGGCAGCGGTTTTATTATTTATTATCGTGTTCACGGACAGTTTTCGCGAAATTTATTCATTTGTCATAAAACTTGACGTTGTGGCGTAAAACTGAGTTCAGATTCAAATTCAGCGATCCAAAAATAATAAAAAAAAACATAGTATGGTCAATACTTTCAAAACAAAAGGCTTTTGTGGTCGTGTCAATATTTTTACGTAATTGTTTTTTTTTTCATAATCATGGTTGTCACAAAAATTAAATTTTATTTTTCCCTGACTTCTACATGATTTCCAGACAAAGTTTTGACTTTTTCCCTGACCGTAAAAAATATTCTGATTCACTCTAAAAATTATTAGATACTAAAAAAAAATTCTATTACATTTACTTACGAATTTCTTAAATTATAAAATTATTCGCAAACATCAATAAACTTCTATTTTAAATAAATATTTAATCATTATTATTTTTCCATAAAAATTAAGATTTTCAAAAAATTTAAATTTAAACTGTTTTGAAATTTAACAAATATTATTATAAAACATGAAGAAATTGATCACTTCGAGTCTTCGACTCGAAGTAATCAATTTCTTCATGTTTTATAATAATTAATGATGACCGAGTGATAAAATCATTATTTTAAATTATAAGAACATTGTTACTATTATTTCTTCAGAATTATTTTCATCATTTCCATTCAATTATTATTTTCTACAATTTTTAACTAAAATTCTTCTCTAAATCAATTATTTTGAATAATTTTTGAAAAAGTTTTTTGAGAATTTTCAAATCCATTAATTTGTTTACAATATTCAATTTTACGTGAAATTTCGGTTATTCGTAAATCCTTCAATTCTAATACCTATATATTAGAAAATAAAAACTTCAAATTAATTTTAAAAAAATACAATTGAACTTTTCGAAAAAAATTAAATTGTTAGTTAAAAGTACGAAAAATTCAGATTTTCAAAGATTTTAATTTGAAACCTTTTCAAAAGTCAATTATTTCTAAAAATTCATCCTATAATGTTTCTAATATTCAATTATTATCTAAAATTTCAATTAAAATTAAGTTTTGAATTAATTTCTATTAAAAAAATCCTAAGAAAATTCAATTTTATTTAAATAGAAAAATATTTTATTGAATAATTGAATGTTTCTCAAAATTGAATTCTCTCAATAAAGAATATTATCAACAAATTTTTAAATAATTGAATTCTTTTGACGTATTTTAATAAAGTTTTAAAGACTTATTAAATATTTTCGAGAAATGCGATTAAAATTGTATTAAAAATAATTGAATCTCTGTAAACAATTTCATTGAATTGAGAAAAGTTTTTGAAAATAATTGAAATTTTGCCAAGAATTTTATTAAAATTTTTGAAAATAATTGAATTTTGGAGAAAAAGTTTATTATTTATAAAGATAATTGAAATAATTAAATTCTTGAGACAAATTTTTTAATAATATTTCTTTTTAAATACCTAATTGAATTCTATTGCGAAAATTTCATTAAAATAGTAGATATTGAAAATAATTGAAATTTAAGAAATTATATTGAAAATAATTATATTTTCACGAAGAATTTTATTAAAATTATTTTGAAAAAACATTGAATTTATATTGTTAAAGATAATTTCATTAAAATTTTTGAAAATAATTTAATTCTTTCAAGAAATTTAATTGAAAATAATAATAAAATACTTAAATTCTACCAAATAAAATTATAGGAAGGCTTTTTAAAATAATTGAATATCTTTGATGAATTTTAATAAAATTTTCTAAAATAATTACATTTTTTGAGAAATTCCATTAAAGTTGTATTATAAAAATAATTGAAATTCTGCGATGAGTTTTACTATTTATGAAAAAAATTGTATGCTAAGAATTTTATTTTATTCATGAAAATAATAATTGATTTATTGCGAAGAAATTTATAAAAAATTTGTAGATAATTGAATTCTTGTGAAATTTTTATTATTTATATACAATAATAATATTGATTTTTGGAGAAAAATTTTACTTTTTATAAAAATAATTGGAATTTTACAAATTTTTGAACATAAGTGAATTTCTGCGAAGAATTTTATTATTTTTGAAAATAATGGAATTTTTTGTATTTGTAACTTCTTTAAAAGTCATTTTTTTAGTGGTTTTATAGAATTTTATGAATTTTTTTTTTTTTTAACTATTGAATATTCTTTTGGACAGTTTTATTAAAATAGTGGATATTGTAAATCATTAATGATTTTTTTTCTCAATTTATATAATTAAATTGAGAAAAATTTTTGAAAATAACTGAAATTTTGCCAAGAATTATATTAAAATTTTTGAAAATAAGAAAATAATTTCGACGAACAATTTTATTATTTATAAAGATAATGATTTTTTTAAGTTTGAGTAAAGTTTTAAAATTATATTGAATATTTAAAAGCAAAATATGAAAAATTCAAGGACAATAGTTGAAAATCCAGGACATTTAAGGACATTTCATTTTTAACTTTTCATTTTTTGTTTTAATATTTTATTATCTATTTCGTATTCTTTTTAATTTTTCAATTTCTTCTTTGATACTTTGTATTTTTATTAACCCTTGAAGTACCCTATAGGGATCTCTCAGACCCTGTGTTTTTCTATAAAAAGCATTTTATCCATATTTAAATATTTTTAATAAGAAATTTAAAGTGTCCTACATAGACTTATTTTACAGTTCGTTTAAATTGTATGTATATTTAATAAAATTCTTTAATTTGATCAGATGAACAGTTTAAAATTGGTTGAGCTGAAAAAAATGATCGAAATAACAGGTGTGTGCTCCGGGGGTTAATTGATTTTCTTTCTAATTAGATTATATTTTTTCTTTCTTTTTGAATTTTTATTATTAGTTAATTAATTTTTTTTTATTCAATTCTCAATAACAATAATTTTTAATAATAATAATAATAATAATAATAATAAACATATAATTTTTTTTATTTAGTGTTTTTAATATAAACTTCTTTAAAGTTTTAAGAGAATACAAATACAATAATAAAAGAATATTTTTTATTTATTAATTTATATATAATTTTTTTCTAGGTCTCCTTGAACCTTGTGATAAACTTCTTAGCTTATGTTGGCTTTAAAATTTATTATTCATTTCTTTTTTTTTTTTACAAAATGACACAGTGGCCTTGATAAAAAATGCATTTCTTCTTGTGCAATAAAAAAGCTAGCAATATTTCTTCCTTTTTTAGAGAATTGTCATGGCCATTTGAGCAAAGAACATAAAAATGCTTATTTTCTTATCTACTAATAACCTGTCTTATACTCGAAGATTTTTTGTTGTTTAGTTTCTCTATACTATGTAATATTTTCAGCCGACGTCATACAGATAATAAAATTCTAAAAGTGAAAGTTGTTTAAACTACTATTTTCAAA